GTTGCTATTGCTTAACAAAATTGAGATTTAACAACATTTTTTAAGTGAATGTTGTTAATATTGGCTTTTCGCAACGTTTTTTAAGTGTTGCAAAAATTTTTATTTTTCGCAGCGTTTTTTAAACGTTGCGGAAGACAAAACTTTTTGCAACATTTTTTTAAACGTTGCTAAAGATGCTTTTCACAATTTTTTTTAATTTTTTATGATCTTTTCGTAATGTTTTCTAAAAAACGTTGCAAAAAATTCAGGCTTCCTTCGAATCAAAAAGCCCTCTCGTCTCTGCCTATCCCCAGTCAAAGCCTTTCTTCTTTTCCATGCTCTCTGCAGTCAAAGCCCTCTCTCTGTAATTAAAGCCCTAACTTTTCGCGATTTTGCCCTTAGGGTGGAAGCAGCGGTGGCGGGCAACAATGTTTTGTGGGGTTGAAGAGTGGTGAGAGGTCATGGAACATGGCTTGGGATACTCCGGCGCGCTGGCTACACCATCCTGACTCGGCTTGGCTCCTCTTTGGCTACACCATCCTTTCCACCACTCTCTGTGTATAGTACAAGCACGGTGAGCATAATTTTGGTTGTTTTGCTTTATTTTGTTTTTTTTAATTTGGTTTTTCATTCAAATGAATTTCTAGGTCCACAGTATTGATTATTTCAGAGGAATTTGTTTTTTCTAAATTTCTCATTTGTTACAATTGCTCTCCATTTTCAGAGAAAATGTTTGATATTTTCGTTTTGTATTGTATTTTAATTTGAATGGAATGAGCTGTAAATCGTGTTTTTCTCCTAGGTTTTCTGATTTCAATTTGGTCCCTCAAATTGGGGAGCGGATGTGCATTATTGGCTCGTCATGTTTGCTAATGTCTACCCCTTTCTGGAAGAATTGAGGCTCAAGAGGATGACTGTCAGCAATGAAATCTTGGAGCTCCTAGCCACATCATTTTTGGGCTTCAGGGCCTTATCTTTGATGAGTTGTGATGGATTCAGGACAGATGGTCTCAAAGCTATTGCCA